GGGGCTGGGGACACCCCTGGGGGGCTGGGGACACCCCTGAGGGGCTGGGGACACCCCTGAGGGGCTGGGGACATCCATCGGGGTTTGGGGACACCCCTGAGGGGCTGGGACACCCCTGAGGAGCTGGGGACACCCCTGGGGGTTTGGGGACACCCCTGGGGGCTTGGGGACATCCATTGGGGTTTGGGGACACCCCTGAGGGGCTGGGGATACCCCTGGGGGGATGGGGACATCCATCGGGGTTTGGGGACACCCCTGGGGGGCTGGGGACACCCCTGGGGGGCTGGGGACATCCATCAGGGATCTGGGGACATCCATCAGGGGTTGGGGACGTTCCTGAGGGGCTGGGGATGTTCCTGAGGGGTTGGGGACACCCCTGAGGGTCTGGGGACACCCTTGAGGGGTTGGGGACGTTCCTGAGGGGTTGGGGACATCCATCAGGGTTTGGGGACATCCATCAGGAATCTGGGGACATCCATGGGGGGTTGGGGACGTTCCTGAGGGGTTGAGGACATTCACTGGGGGTTTGGGGGCATCCATTGGGGGTTTCGGGACCTCCCTGAGGTCAGTTTGGGGACCCCCCCGGATTTGGGGACCCCTTTGAGGTGGGTTTGGGGACCCCCCGGGGTTGGGGACCCCCCTGAGCCGGGTTTGGGGACCCCCCCGGATTTGGGGACCCCTCTGAGCCGGGTTTGGGGACCCCCCGGATTTGGGGACCCCCTGAGGTGGGTTTGGGGACCCCCCGGGTTCGGGGACGCCCCTGAGCTGGGTTTGGGGACCCCCCCGGGTTTGGGGACCCCTCTGAGGTGGGTTTGGGGACCCCCCCGGGTTTGGGGACCCCCATGAGCCGGGTTTGGGGACCCCCCCGGGGTTGGGGACCCCCCTGAGCCGGGTTTGGGGACCCCCCCGGGGCAGAAGTCGGGGCGCGAGGAGGAGGAGGAGGAGGAGGAGGCGGAGGCGCGGCCGGACCCGCTGCACCAGCTGATCCTGCACTTCAGCCGCACGGCGCTCACCGAGCAGAGGTGACCCGAACCCCCAAATCCCCGGGGACCCCAAATCCCAAATCCCGACCCCAAATCCCCGGGGACCCCGAAACCGACCCCAAATCCCCGGGGACCCCAAATCCCGAGGTGACCCCGAACCCCCAAGTCCCTGGGGACTCCCAAACCGACCCCAAATCCCTGAGGGGACCCCAAATCCCAAATCCCGACCCCAAATCCCCGGGGACCCCGAAACCGACCCCAAATCCCTGAGGGGACCCCGAAACCAACCCCAAATCCCCGGGGACCCCGAAACCCCCCCCCAAATCCCCGGGGACCCTGAAACCCCCCAAACCCCGAGGGGACCCCAAAACCGACCCCAAATCCCTGAGGAGACCACAAATCCAACCCCAAATCCCTGGGGACCCCAAATCCCGAGGTGACCCCGAACCCCCAAGTCCCTGGGGACTCCCAAACCGACCCCAAATCCCTGAGGGGACCCCGAACCCCCCCCCAAATCCCTGAGGGCACCCCGAAACCGACCCCAAATCCCCGGGGACCCTAAAACCAACCCCAAATCCCTGAGGGGACCCCGAAACCGACCCCAAATCCCCGGGGACCCCAAATCCCAAATCCCGACCCCAAATCCCTGAAAGGACCCCGAAACCCCCCCCAAATCCCCGGGGACCCCAAATCCCAAATCCCGACCCCAAATCCCNGGGGACACCCCTGGGGGGCTGGGGACACCCCTGAGGCGCTGGGGACATCCATCGGGGTTTGGGGACACCCCTGAGGGGCTGGGGACATCCATCGGGGTTTGGGGACGTTCCTGAGGGCTTGGGGACATTCCTGAGGGGTTGGGGATGTTCCTGAGGGGTAGGGGACACCCCAGAGGGGCTGGGGACACCCCTGAGGGGTTGGGGACATTCCTGAGGGGCTGGGACATCCATCGGGGTTTGGGGACGTTCCTGAGGGGCTGGGAACGTTCCTGAGGGGCTGGGGATGTTCCTGAGGGGCTGGGGATGTTCCTGAGGGGCTGGGGACATCCATCGGGGTTTGGGGACACCCCTGAGGGGCTGGGGACACCCCTGAGGGGCTGGGGACATCCATCGGGGTTTGGGGACGTTCCTGAGGGGCTGGGGATGTTCCTGAGGGGTTGGGGACATCCATCGGGGTTTGGGGACGTTCCTGAGGGGTTGGGGATGTTCCTGGGGGGCTGGGGACACCCCAGAGGGGCTGGGGACACCCCTGAGGGGTTGGGACATCCATCGGGTTTTGGGGACGTTCCTGAGGGGCTGGGGATGTTCCTGAGGGGTTGGGAACGTTCCTGAGGGCTTGGGGACATTCCTGAGGGGCTGGGGACACCCCTGAGGGGCTGCGGACACCCCTGAGGGCTTGGGGACATCCATCGGGGTTTGGGGACGTTCCTGAGGGGCTGGGGACGTTCCTGAGGGGTTGGGGACACCCCAGAGGGGCTAGGGACACCCCTGAGGGGTTGGGGACGTTCCTGAGGGGCTGGAGACATCCATCAGGGTTTGGGGACATTCATCAGGAATCTGAGGACATCCATCAGGGGTTGGGGACGTTCCTGAGGGGTTGAGGACATTCACTGGGGGTTTGGGGGCATCCATTGGGGGTTTGGGGACATCCACTGGGGTTTGGGGACATCCACTGGGGGTTTGGGGACCCCCCTGAGGTCAGTTTGGGGACCCCCCCGGGTTTGGGGACCCCCCTGAGCCGGGTTTGGGGACCCCCCCGGGGTTGGGGACCCCCCTGAGGTGGGTTTGGGGACCCCCCTGAGGTGGGTTTGGGGACCCCCCCCGGGTTTGGGGACCCCCCCGGGTTTGGGGACCCCCCTGAGGTCAATTTGGGGACC